GGTCCTGGAGGAGGAGGCCCACAGCATGCCCGGGGTGGGGGGTAGGACGCGGCGGGGGGGGCCAGGCCAGGTGGCCACCCTCCCATGAGTGGCCGGACCCATAGCACTTGCCCATGTTCAGGGGTGCGGGGTGCCTTTGGTGGCCCCAGGCTAAGGCCTGGTTGGTCAATCCAAACAAAAATGCGGGATTTTGGTAAGTTTCACGGGGTGGGGTGGGGTGGGGGTCACATGAGGGGTGCCCAAGGGGAAGGCTCTGGGCTGCCGGAGAGCCTCGAGGGCCGCTGGGGGGAGTCTTGGGGGACTTCCCTTCACCTGTTTGTCCAGGGCGGGTGCTCAGGGCCTGCAGGCCACGGACCCCACAGGGTGGAAGCCAAGGCTTGCTGACCTCTCCACAGTTCTCAAAAGAAACCTCCTGGAAGCCAAAAACAAAAGATAAATCAGTCTCGGGATGTTCCACCCACAGAGTATAAACAACCTTCTTAACAGTCTCCGCAGGGAATCAGGTCACTCTAGCTCACCTCTCTGTGAATCACCAAGAATCACCAACCCCTCGGGTTCTGATCTTCCCTCCACTCCACTCCCGCTCCTTCCCCCTCCGGGCTCCCTGCAGGCTCTCAGCTGTGTGTCTCAGGGTGCATGCAATCAGGGTGATAAAGCCCCTCCCAGCCTCCCCTCCGGCCACCTAGGAATGGAAATAGGTCACAAAAAAAAAAAGAAATGGGTTACAGCTGGGAAAGGCCACCGCCTGCCCACCCCCACCCCCCCACAGCTGCCCCCTCTCCCGCCCGCTGGTCCTGGTGCCCGGCCCACCTCTCCCGGACCCTCCCTACACATACTTCAGGCCCTGTGACAGTATCCCCTGGCTCTTGGATATTTTGGTTTTTTTTTTTTAATTCTTTTTTTTTCTTCTTTGGGTTTCAGTTTGGATCATTTCTATTGAGCATCTTCAGGTTCATGGAATATGTCCTCAGCTGTCCTGGGTCTACTGCTCTTCAGGGGATTCCTCATTGTTAGTGCCGCTTATTTCTAGAATTTCCATCTGGCCCTTAGTGTCTTCCCTCTCTAGAAATCTGCCCTGCTTATTCACTCATGTTTCCATTAAGCCCTTTGACACCTCAATCAGAGATATTGTATGTAAAGATTTTATTTATTTGACAGGTGCACAAGCAGGGGGAGTAGCAGAGGGAGAGGGAGAAGCAGACTCTGCTGAGCAGGGAGCCCAATGCGGGGCTAGATCCCAGGACCCTAAAATCATGACCTGAGCTGAGGGCAGAGCTTAACCCGCTGAGCCACCCAGGTGCCCCAATCGGAGATATTTTAAAGTTGCTCTCTGATAGTTCCAGCACTTGGCTCTCATCTGAGTCTGATGCTGCTTACTGCCTTGCCTCTCGACCATGGAGTTACTTCCTGCTTTCTTGTAGGTCTGGTAATTTTTAAATCTGAAAGGCAGGTATCCTGTATAAGCCAGAGATTGAAGCAAATAGTTTTACATCTGGATTTTTTTTTAATTTTTTATTTATTTATGATAGTCACAGAGAGAGAGAGAGAGAGAGAGAGAGAGAGAGAGGCAGAGACACAGGCAGAGGGAGAAGCAGGCTCCATGCACCGGGAGGCCGAAGTGGGACTCGATCCCGGGTCTCCAGGATCGCGCCCTGGGCCAAAGGCAGGCGCCAAACTGCTGCACCACCCAGGGATCCCTACATCTGGATTTGCATGCATCTCTCCTGAGGGCCCTGTGGGGAGCTGGGTCCCTCTAGACTGGGTGTGGCTGCTACTAAGAGTCCTTTGGGGCCACACCAGCTTCCAAGCCCCCTGGTGTTGCTGTGCGCCTCGCACGGAGTTCAGGCTGCTAGAGAATTCTCTCAATTTCTCAGTCTTTCTAGTGCCTAGGAGAGCAGGCCCCAGGCTCCCCACTGGAGCCAGCTGTTGGGTTTGTCGGGCTTTTACCCTCCCTGTTCGGGGACAGAGCAGCATTCCTCCACCCAGGGATTCCCTGGGAGACGTTCTGGCCTCCTCCACCCAATCCCCTCACCACCCAGGGGCCACAGGTCAAGTCTGCTCAGGACACAGCTTGTCATCATGTAACCCGTTGGTGGCTTCCTGTTGCTCTTGGGATGGCCAGGGCCAGTATCCCTTAGGATGCCGAGGCTTGGGCCCTGCCTTCCCCTCCACTGCAGTTTGTCCCCACTCCCCCTTTGCTCCCCCTCTGCTCCCCCTTTGCCCTCGGAGTGGCAGCGCCTGTGCTGACTCTGTTCCCTCCTCCCCTGCTGCCTCAGCCTTCAGATCTCCAGCTCCAGGTCCCCAGGGAGACGGTGTTTGGTGCCCCCCACCCTCCACCTGTCAGACTTACTGACCCCCCTGACACTGGCAGGACCTGGCCCTGGAGCTGCCCTGCAGCCCACTGTGCTGCCACCTGCATTGCTCAGCAAAGGGCCTGGCCCCCAATGAGTCTCAGGTGCTGACAGGTGGAAGTGCCACAGGTACAAAATGTTTGCATTGCTGGAAATAGCAAAAGGGAAGGCAGCGAGGACGCACCACATTTCATGTAAGCCAAGTGCTTAGCAGGGAGAGGCTCGGAGACGGGGGGCATGGGGAGTCACCCCAGGCTCTTTGAGGTTTACTGCTTTGGTAACACCACCTGGGACTGCTGTTCGAGTTAACACATTTTGTTGGATCCGAAAACATAGCGGAGGATATGGAAGGTGAAATTGTTTGGATGGCTTGGGGTAGAGAGAGATTTGTCCGGTGATTTTCAGCTAACATCGACTAGCACTTACTAACACTGACTGCAGCAAGCGGAAAATTGGCCTGGGTTTTTCTTCAGCGTAAATGGAGAGAGATGTGTGTGAGATGTGTGCCCGTGGTGTGTGAAGTGAGAGTGCAGCTAATAGCACCATGCACTGATGGGTCTCAGAGAAATTAAAAATACAGGGCGTCCAGAACATGAGACCTTACAAGTAACCCTACCACCGGTGTCAGCTTTTAGAAAAGCTGTGTCTGGAAGTAAATCTTGCTGTTATTGGTAAGCATTGTTCGTTGTTAAATACAATTTTGTTTATTTTTAGCCTGGAAAGGTGTAACTGGTGGAAGTTTGGTTATTCGCGCACTTTCAGGAAATTACTTTTATCTTATGGAAAGGCCCAGTGAGACTTTCATCAAGAACTACGTAACCAAGTGTCTAGAACTATTGATACTTGCCTATTTTTAGATATTTTTCCTTTCCGTCTGAAGAGAGTCTGAAGTGATTATATGATACTCTTCTTAATTTTCCTCAAGTAGGTCATTAGTTTTATTCAGAGGTTGGGAACTTACCCAATCCAAGTACTACTGGGGAGATGTGTTACCCATAAATGTATTTCTTCACAGAGTGCTTATGATCTGGAGACAGAAGGCAAAGGGGTACGGATTCCTTCTGCAGGGAGTATCTTCCTATCAGAATCTCATTGCAGTCTTCTCTGTTGGAAGCTTGTCAGCAACACTTCTGCTCAGTTAATTATCCATTTCTTCCCCTTCCATTATTTTAACAGTGGAAATGATAGGGAAAGTGCTAGGAAATAAATTTCTCCATCAACACACTGGTTTAAAGCTTGATCCAATCTTTTTGAAATGTAGGGTCATCCATTTAATAAGAAAATGTAACCTAATTGCTTTATTAAAATAAGACACTTCTGAGCCATCATTGCTGTCTCTACTGAGTAGCAAGCCCAGGCCCCCTCCGAGCGGCTGCTGGCTCTGTGGGTCCTGCTGGCGCCTGGCAGTGACTGCCTCGGGCCGACGTGGGTCCTCCATGGACAACCAGTCTGGTATCTGGCCCCTGGTGTGTTAGAGTGGCCAAGCACAAATGCCACGCCTGACAGGATGCCTCAGCCTTGCTTGGTGACAGTTTGAGGTTGATGTAAGGAGAAAGCAGAATAGTTAGAGAAAACAGGAGCTAAGGGGGAAAAAAAGCAGAAATAAGGAAAATAAGGTAAGTTTGTATGATGCAAAGCACTACAAACGGGGCTCATAATTGCCGGCTGGCAGGAAGGAAGGGGCATGGTACCCTTGGAGCTGAACGGGCCCTGCAATCTCTGGCAAGTCCTAGAGTGTGTTTGTTTCTTGGAATCCTGGCTGTTCAGTTGGATACGCTGATTTCCTGTCCTGTGGATCTTCCCAATAAACTCCACTCCTTGGTGTCACTGATGTCTCTATCTTAAGGCTTAATGTACTTAACAAAGCAATATATATTAATGTTAAATTTTAAAGCATTCATTTGTTTATGATCACATAATCACGGGGTGCCTGTGTGGCTCAGTGGTGATCAGGTCGTGATCCCAGGGTTCTGGGATTGAGTCCCAAATGGGGTTCCCCACAGGGAGCCTGTTTCTCCATCTGCCTCTGTCTCTGTCATAAATAAATAAAATCTTAAAAAAATTTTTTTTAATTACATACATTTTAAGAAGATTGAGCAAAATGCTACATGTTTTTCAGAGGTTTTCATTCCTAACAAAGGGCAGATCATATGAAAAAAATTCATTGTGGGAGGAGTTAGAATTCATGCAACCAACTTGGGTTAAAAATAGGCTGAAGCAAATGATGACACATGTTTGGTACCTGTTGTGCTTTACCCTTTGGTGTGACATTTTTTCCAAGGCTCCCTTATGTAAGAAGTGGCACAAAAGTAATTTGATTTGTGATTATTTGTTTCAATAAGTTTTTAGTTACTATGGTCCATAATGGGAATCTCATGATGTAGCCAACCCCAGGCTTTGGGGACGGGCCTTCTCACCTGCCGCCCCACCTGGCAGCTGTGAAGCCCACATGGGAATAGCTATGAGAGTTTCCAAGCTTTGACTGGAAGGAGTAGCCCCATCATTGCCGATGGCTTCCTCTTCTTTCATTTGGACGTTGACTTCATGACGGTAGACCCCTGACAATCTTCAGGAAGACTTAGTAGAGATGCGAACCATCTTTACTTTCCAAAAATTTCCAGAATAGGAATCAAGCTAGATTCATTTCTCATTAAACTTTTTATTTTGAGATAACAGTAGATGCACATTTTATTGTGAGAATAATACAGAGCTACCCAGTTTCCCCAAATGGAAACGTGCAAAACCCCAGTATAATGTTACAGCCAGATGTTCACAGTGATAGTCAAGGAACAGAACATTCCATCCAACGGGGTCCCTCCTGCTGCTTTTTAAAGCCACACCTACCTCCCTACTCTGTCCTCTATAGTAATCATTATTCTGTTCTCTATGTCTGTAATTTTGCCATTTCAAGAAAGTTACATAAATGGAAACACACACTGTGTAACATTTTGGACTGGCTTTTTTCACTCAGCATAATTCCCTGGAAATGCATCTAGTCAGTCTAGACTTTTTTTTAAGTCACATGAAGGGACACCTGGGTGGCTTAGGCAGTTAAGCATCTGCTTTTGGCTCAGGTCATGATCCCAGAGTCCTGGGATCGAGCCTTGCATCAAGCTCCTTGCTCAGGGTGGAGCTTGCTTCTCCCACTCCCTCCGATGCTCCCCCTCCTTGTGCTCTCTCTCTCTCTCTCTGTAACAAATAAATATAATCTTTAAAAAAAATAAAGTCACATGAAATCAACTTATCCCTCATTGGTCATAGTGTACCAAACCCAAACCTTTATCCAGGGAATAGAAGTATTTTTTGGGGGGATATTTATCCTATGTAATCTCAGACAGATTTTATTTTATTTTTTTTTAATTTTTATTTATTTATGATAGTCACACACACACACACAGAGAGAGAGAGAGAGAGGCAGAGACACAGGCAGAGGGAGAAGCAGGCTCCATGCACCGGCAGCCTGACGTGGGACTCGATCCCGGGTCTCCAGGATCGTGCCCTGGGCCAAAGGCAGGCGCCAAACAACTGCGCCACCCAGGGATCCCTCAGACAGATTTTAGAAGCACTAAAACAGTACTATCTTCTTTCAGGGAACCTGTGTGTAGCAAGAAAGAGGCCAATGTGTATTCCAGACTCTGCATTTTTACTCTGATAAAACTCAATATTAAGAGGCCCAGTAGTTGTACATTTTATTATCACTGGACACTATATTTAATTTTGAAGTCTTAAATGGAAAAATCCAAAGAAAAATAATTGATAGATGGCTTTTTTCTCTCTCTGAATAGTCACTGACTTGTAAGTTTATTTTTTTTAAATGAAGCTTATTCGTTGTTAGGTTTTATATAATGTGTGCTTTAAATTGAAGGTAGGATAATTAGAGTTACCTCAATGATCAATTCTCAATTATCTCAAGAATCATTCAATTCTTACAACCCTGTGAGACTGATTTTTTCCCCCAACTCTAGATGGGGCTTAGCAAGGTTAAATAATTTGTCTGAGGTCACCTAGTAAAGAATTACAGAGTATGGACTGGAACCAGTATGATGATGATTACCAAGGCCCCACATCAGTGAGAATCCCAAAGCTACACCATGCAACAAAGGAAGAGCCTTGTTATTGGTTTTTAATAAACTGTTTTGATTACATACCAATAATACTAACTCACTGTAGAAAAACAGATAAGCCCCCCAAAATTGTTAATGTTTTTGTGGCATTCTACCAGAAGAATACTTTTTAAATTGTTTTATTTTTAATTTTTAAAAAATATTTTATTTATTTTTTGAGAGAGAGAGAGAGAGATTGAGAATATGAGCAAGGGTGAGGAGCAGATGGAAAGGGAGAAGCAGACTTCCCGCTGAGCAGGGTGCCCCATGCAGGACATAATCCCAGGACCCTGGGTTCACGACCTGAGCCAAAGGCAGACACTTAACTGACTGAGCCACCCACGTGCTCTATCAATGTTTTTTTTTTAAAAGAACTTTTAAAATTACCTGATTTTAGCAAGTAAAATTCCATTAAATTTATAGTTTCAGCATACCTCTAATTAAGGACTACAATTCATGTTAACAGCAAACATATTCATGATGTGTAAAGAGTTAACGGTGCATTTCTTCCCTAGGTAGGTCATGATACCATTATGAAGACTTCAAAAGGAAAACTTTCTCATAGCTGAATTTTAAATTCCATATTTTTCTATCAGCTCTTTTGCTTTAGAAATATAGGCACTCATGGCATCTTCCTTCGACAGCCCTAGAAAGACACAAACAGATGATCTCACTGACTGATGTACTGGGAAATTAAGAAAGTTTATTTCACTTATTTAAGAATTAACAACCTTTTTGGAGGTTCCACGCTTCCCATTTAGCTTTGCCTTTTAAATCTAACATTCCTGGACACTCTGCCAAAAGAAGGATAGATATATTTTCAAGTTTACCTTTTACTCAACGCTTCTATAAATGTTCAGATGAAATGTATTATTTTTTAAATATATGATTTTAAAAATATTATTAACATATATTATATAAAATACCAATATTAATGTCTCCAACCACGGATTGTTTGTAGAGCCCATAGAGTTCTTTCAGTTCTTCATCATCTGGTCTTGCTTTCAGCTTCCTCACATCTTCTGCAATTTTGTTAAAATCAGCCTACAACAAAAAGGTAAAAAGGCACATAGTGCATTCACTAACTTTCAGCAGGCCCATCTATTTTGAGGGTATTTACCACCAAACAGTGGGAACTCAAAAATAATAATAATAATAATAATAATAATAATAATAATAATAATAATGTTTCACACAGAACTATTATTGGTCTGGTTCCACCATAATTATCCTAATTTATTTAATTTATGGATACTTGTCCTGGTACTTACCTGATATTCAGACAAGATATGGAGAACCACATACAATTGTTATTAGTGACAATTCCTTTTTTTTAAGTAGGCTCCATGCCCAGCATGGAACCCGGTATAGGGGTTGAACCTACAACTCTAAGATCAAGACCTGAAGTTGAAGATCAAGAGTTGGGCAATTAAACAACTGAGCCACCCAGGTGCCCCAATACTGAAGATTCTTAATACTGAAAAATTTTAAAAACTGAAGACACAAATAAATGGAAAGGTAGTCTATGCTAATTGAAAGAAGTAATATTGTTTAAATGTTCATACTACCTAAAGCAATCTACAGATTCATTGCAATCAATCCCTAACAACATTCCAATGGCATATTTTACAAAAATAGAAGAAACAACCTTAAAGTTTGTGTAGAACCACAAAAGACCCTATAGCCAAAGTGATCTTGGGAAAGAATAACAAAGTTGGAATCATCACACAGCCTGATTTCCAACTGTATTACAAATAAAGCTATAGTAATCAAAACAGTATGGTACTGGCCTAAAAACAAACGCATTAATGAAACAGAATAGAGAGCCCAGAAATAAAAGCATGCATATAAACAGAGGGGGTAAACTCCTTGGACACTGGTCTTGCATGTATAAGTTAAAAGCATATAAATTCCACAAATTAGTATTTTACATATATGCATGCTGTTTATTTCCTTATTACAAAGGAGCCGAGAACGTAGAATGGGGAAAGGTGAGTCTCTTCAACAAATGGTGCTGAGAGCCATATACAAAAGGCTGAAACTGGGCCCTATCTTACACCATGCACAAAAATTAACTCAAAATGGATTTAATGTAAGGTCAAGTAATATTTTTTTTAGATCTTACATGAATGTAAGACCTAAGACCACAAAGCTCCTCGATAGAAAACAGAGGGGGTAAGCTCCTTGGACACTGGTCTTGGCAATGATTGTTTGGATCTGACACCAAGAGCAAAGGCAACAATGGGGCGCCTGAGTGGCTCAGTCCCTTAAGCCTCTGCCTTCAGCTCAGGCCATGATCCGGGGGTCCGAGGACTGAGCCCCACAAGCTCCTTGCTCAGACGGAGAGTCTGCTTCTCCCTTTCTCTCTTCCTCTGCTCGTCCTTGCTCTCTCTCTTTCTCTCAAATAAATAAATAAAATCTTGCAAAAGAATAAAGGCAACAAAAACAAAAATAAAAATGTGAGACTCCATGAAACCAGAAAGCTTCTGCACTGTAAAGAAAACCAACAACAAAATGAAAAGGCAACCTATGGAATGGGAGAAAATATTTGCAAATCATGTATCTTTAAAAAATGAATAATATCCAAAATATATAAAGAACTTATACCACTCAATAGCAAAAAAAAAACAATTAAAAAATGGGCAAAGGAACGTCATTTTCCAACGACATACAAATGGAGATGGGTCTGATGCTGCATGGGCTATGTGCAGCTCCAGCCTTGTACCTCCCATACGCCTGCATCAGTGATGGTGGAAGAGGGCCAGCATGCCTGTGGGGGTGGAGGGGAGGAGGAGGAGGAGGATGCAGAGCTTGGCCTAGGGAAGGGAGGAGGTGCACCACCTGTGGTGGCAGGAGGAGGAGGAAGCCAGGGGAGGAAGAGGGGAGTGGAGTAGGGGGGTGGGGTAGGGAGGAGGCCTTGCCTGGTGGGGGGCATGTGGGGTTGTGGGGGCAGAGGTTTGTATGGAGAAGCTGGAACACCACCCGATGGTCAAGCAGCCCAGCAATGTCTGGCAGGAAGCAGCTGACTGGCCAGCACCCAAGGAGAAGCACAAAGGGTAACAGTAGGTTGGGGATAAAGTGCTACTGAAGAAGATGAACTGTTTATCCAAAAAAAGAAAACTCCTTCCAGATTACATTCTGGAGAAGTTAACTACAGCTGGACAGACTATAACATAAAGACATCATCAGAAAAGTTGAAACTGATTTGCAGAAAAAAACTGAAGAATGTGAAAAAGGAAGTGATTCCAAGAAAGCTGAAAAAGAAGTACAGAAAGTACAGTCTATGGGCCAGAATAGAAGCCACTTGGCTCCAAGGCTAGAAGCTCAAAATCTGAGAGATTCAAGGCAATAAACAGAGAAAGGCTTTGGACAGAATTCTTTATATGGTCCCAGAACCACAGAACTACTGTAAATAAGTTCCCGTGTCTTGAAAATACCCAGAGATCATGACCTGAACAGAAACTAAGAGTCAGACACTCAAATGACTGAGCCCCCTCAGCACCTCTACACATTTCTTTGTATAAGTTAAAAGCATATAAATTCCACAAATTAGTATTTTATTTTGTTTTATTTTTTATTTCTTTCATTATCTCTCCCTCCAATGTGGGGTTTGAACTCAGGACCCTGAGATCAAGAGTTGTATGCTCCACTGACTGAGCCAGCCAGGTGCCCCCTATGTTCTCCCAGCTTTCTCTGTCTCCTTTTAACCTCTTTGTTCATCTAAAAAGGGTTTTGGTGATTATTTTCCTTAATAGGATTTTTCTTTTTTTAAAAAAAAAAATCCACTGTATTTTACCTTGTGTTATTTAAATCAAGGATAAGCAGGCAATGTCACCAGCCTGGGTATCAAGTAAGAGAGGCTCAAGGAGGCATTCCACCCTCAGCCCCATTTTCTCTCTCCAGTGCATAGCTCCCTTTGATCCAAAGATCCCAAGTCCTAGTAGAGAAAGTGGATAGCCCCACTGTAATGTCAGAACCCCGGTGACCCCAGCAGAGTCGCTGGATCAAGTTTCCATCCAGCGCCGAAGGCAAGACGAAGGCTAGACGACAGCACAACAAGAGCAGTTGTTTTGTGAGGAACAAAAAGCACTTGTAAATCAGAGACTGGGTTCTGCAATGTAAATAATCTTGAAAATGGCCCAGCCTCCTCATCAATCCCTGCAGGGGTCTTAGAAGCACGGGTACATGTGACAAGGGTCACTTTGCCTCATCTTTTTTTTTTTTTTTTAAATAGGAGACTTTTTTCTGAGTTTTTTTTTAAAGATTTTATTATTTATTCACAAGAGACACACACACAGAGAGGCAGAGACATAGGCAGAGGGAGAAGCAGGCTCCCTTGACCTAGGACCCCAGGATCATACCTGAGACGAGGGTATCAACTACTGAGCCATCCAGGTGTGCCTCATCTTTCTGAGTGTCTTTCTAGGAAGTTGTCAACTGCTTTAAACAATGTCAGGGTTAAGAACATAGACTCTGGGGGGGGGGGGGGAGGTGCTCAGTCAGCTAAGCATCCCATTATTAATTTTGGCTCAGGTCATGATCCCGGGGCCATGAGATCAAGGCCTGCACGGGGCTCCAAGTCAGCTTGAGATTCTCTCTCTCTCCTCCCTCTGCACGCACATTCTTTCTAAATTTTTTTTTTTTTAATTTATGATAGTGAGAGAGAGAGAGAGAGGCAGAGACACAGGCAGAGGGAGAAGCAGGCTCCATGCAGGGAGCCCGATGTGGGACTCGATCCTGGGTCTCCAGGATCGCGCCCTGGGCCAAAGGCAGGCGCTAAACCGCTGCGCCACCCAGGGATCTCTACGCACATTCTTTCTAAATAAGTATGTAAGTACACAGGCTCTCGAGCCAGACTGCATCACTTAAGAACTGTGTATCCTCGGGCAAGTTATTTAACTTGTACTGTTTTCTGGGCCAGAATATGGGACAAGAATACCACCTATCTGCAAGGTTGTTAGGAAGGTTAAATAGGTAAACACATGTAAAATATTTAAAATAGTGCCTGGGACACAGTGTTTAATAAGGTTACCATTATTATTTTAAGTCTCTTTGGGGAAAAAAAAAACAAAACTAATTCTAGAAAAAACTGGGAAAAAAAAAGTACTCCTAATGATAAGGACAAAACGAAAATGCTTGGTAAGTGCCCAGGGCTTGCTCAGGGCAGGGCTGTTCAGAGGCGTAGGGATCTCCCCCTTCAGATTTACTAGCGTCTCAGGTGTTCCACTTGCTGTGAGGTCTTGGGGCCTTTTCCAGTGACAGCAACTCCAATCCTCTTGGCAAGCCATGCCTTGAGGAGAATTGTAAGGCTTCTCAACAACCATACCAGGTCCTTGCCTTCCAGAACGAACTTCTGGCAAATTGATCCTCATATACAGGGGAACATCGAACCAAATGACAACCTAAGGGAAGTCGTGTACCCTCTCCCCAAGAGGTCAGGCCTTCACGATGTGGTTCCAACACACCCTCCTCTTTGCGGTTTCTCCCAGTTCAAGCACGATGAGCTTTAGGTAAAAGAACATAGGCCTCACATCAGGATCTTGGATTTTTTTTTTAAGATTTTATGTATTTATTCATGAGAGAGAGAGAGAGAGAGAGAGAGAGAGGCAGAGACATAGGCAGAGGGAGAAGCAGGCTCCATGCTGGGAGCCCGATGTGGGACCCGATCCCAGGACTCCAGGATCACATCCTGGGCTGAAGGCAGCGCTAAACCATGGAGCCACCCAGGGATCCCCAGGATCTTGGATTTTAATTCTAGTTTTGAGGGCAGCCCGGGGGGCTCCGCGGTTTAGCGCCGCCTTCAGTCCAGGGCGTGATCCTGGAGACCTGAGATCAAGTCCCACTTCGGGCTCCCTGCATGGAGCCTACTTCTCCCTCTGCCTGTGTCTCTACCTCTCTCTCATGGATAAATAAATAAAATCTTAAAAAAATAATAATAATTCTAGCCTTGAGACAAAAATGCCATGGGATTTTACGCAAACAACAAAGCTCCTCTGAGACTCAGTTTCAGCCAAAAAAAAAAAAAAAGATACTATCAATCTCAGTGGGAAGGTGTTAAGATTAAACACCAGGGCACCTGGGTGGCCCAGTGGTTGAGTGTTTGCCTTTGGCTCAGGTCATGATCCCGGGGTCCTAGGATCGAGTCCCGCATCAGGTTCCCCACAGGGAGCCTGCTTCTTCTTCTTCTGCTTACGTCTCTGCCCCTCTCTCTGTCTCTCTCATGAATAAATAAAAAATAAAATCTTAAAAAAAAAAAAGACGAAATACCAGTAAGAATGGGTATATTCTCTACTTCATTCTGTTGACTCTGCCCACCCAGAGCTCATCGCTTGCATCATACTACCGAACACATGTACTGAACCCCCACGATGCACCAGCCCTTTGCTAGGCCAACAGGGAGGTACAGCGCAGCTGGTGCTCAGGGAGCTCAGGCTCCAGTGGGAGCTGAGCAGGTCAACAATGATCATGTGACACTCACTCCAGTGGAGGAGCTGTGGGTGCTCTGGGGATGCAGAGGAGGGAGTGTCAGCAGGTGTGGAGGAAGCCCTGGGGAGGAGATGGGAGGGGATGGTGCTTGGCTAAGCCTGAGGGATCCGCTGGCACCTGCTGGATGAACAGGGGCACACAGGCTGTTCCAGGTGGCCTGGACAGCATGTATCAGGGCTCAGCAGGAAAGCCGCCTGCGACTGGATTTGTTCCCCACATGTGCCTAACAGAGGCCAGGCAGAAGGATTCGTGGTGGCAGCAAGAGGTGCGCCTTGCAGAGCGCACGGGTCGACAGTCCCAGCCCCTCTGAGCCCTTGGGGAATAAATGAAGGAGGGTCTGAAAACTATCACAGATGAGAAATGGCTTTAAATGTACAGTTGTTTACATTTAATTCCAAAGCATTCTGGGCCAAAGGGCTCACTGCTTTTGGTGAAGAGTTTCAGCGTCTGTTGAGCTCATCATTCTAGCGCCGGGTCCTCGGTGTCCTGCTTGAATGCATGTGTCCATCACTCCCCTCTAACTGTGCTTGAGTCTTCAACACAACCTGCCTGGAGGCCTCTTCCCAGACTCCTCTCCTGTTCATGTTTTCACACGGCCCTCTGACCACACCCCGGTGGTGCAGCAATGACCCCAGTGTCACTACGAAGACTCACTGAGAAGGGGGGATGGAGGGGGTTGGGGGGTGCATCCTGCTTTCCTGGGGCTGGAACCCTCTTACCACCTAGCAGTACTGACCACCCCAGCCTCTGTGTAAACTTCCCTTCCAATCACCACAGCTGGAAATAGCCTCTTGGGTGACTCTCACCTAATCTAGCTTTAGTTTCTGAAGCCCAAGGACACGGTAATCCCACGACACAAGGTTGACAAAGTCTCTTCCTTTTTTTTTTTTTTTTTTAGATTTATTCATTTGAGACAGAGAACATGAGTGGGGTGGAGGAGAGAGGGAATCTATCTCAAGCAGATTCCGTGGTGAGCATGAGATCATGGCTGGAGCCAAACCAAGAGTCAGACATTCAACCGACAGGGCCACCCAGGCGCCCCAACAAAGCCTTTTTGAGCAATCATCTCCCACTGAGGGACTGAATTAGGAAGATCATAAATTCTCACACCGCGTGGTTCCTACAAACATGTATGGAGGGAAAGGGGTTAGTTACTTCTCCATTGGAAAAATCACGAATCCCCAAGACTCAAAAAGGTGCATCTTCTTGAAGAAGCAGTCTGCCCTCGAGCATCATTTTGATGAGCATCCTCAAAACCTCGAGTTTTGAGATTGAAAGATGTGATTACTTTGAGGGAAGCCTGATATGAATTAGGAGTCATACCCAAGGGAAAAACCGCTACATATTCAAGGACGCCCTTATCTTTTCTGGTCGTTTCCCACCTGCCTGGTCCTCCGGGGGCTGCCGGGTGTGCGCCCTCGGGGGCCGGCGCCTGCTCCGCGTGCAAGCGATCCCCGGGCTCGCGGCCGGCAGGCGGCCCCCGGCGGTCCCCACGGCGGCGCGGGCGCTCGCGACCGGGGGCGGCGGGAGCATCGGCGGGGTCCCCCGGGGAACTCGCGGGGGGCCTGGGGCGCGAGGACTGCGGGCAGCAGCCGTCCCAAGCTCTAGGTCCGAGTCGCCCGCCCCCGGGGGCCTCGCGCAGGCCGCACGCCCGGCTCCCGCGCGGCCTCCGCGGCCTCGACTCACCTGCAGGGACATGGCGACGAGAGCATCGGCCGCCGCTCCCCGGACGCGCCCTCCTCCGGCGCCCGCGCCCCGGGGCTTCTTAAAAGGCGGCGCGCCTCCGCCCGCCGGCTCCCATTGGCCGCGCTGTGGCCCGCCGGCTCCCATTGGCCGCGCTGTGGGCCCGGCCGGCTCCCATTGGCCGCAGGCACTAGGGGGCGTGGCCAGCGGTGAGTGGCACCTGCCCTGACCCCCCGCGCCCGCCCGCGTCCCCAGCAGCGCGCCAGGTTAGCAACCCGCGCCGCTGCAACCGGAAAGGCGAGGAGCAGAGAATTTAAATGAGTTCCTCTCCGCTCTTGGCTCGCTCCCCAAATTCTTTCTCAGGAGGTTGTTTGCAGGAAATCCTGAGAGGTCTCCTTAGGGCACGGACGTCAATGGGGATTCCTTTTTGTATAAATACATCCCTCTGCCCTCTCCTAATTCCTAGAAACCTGCCTGGATGGCAGTTTTTCGAGACCCCTCACGTCGCCTCTCCCATCTCTAGGACAGACAGTTCACTAGCAATGAGACAGGCGTCTTCTCTTTAAAAAGCAAAAACATTCTGAACACGTGCTGCAACCACCCTAACCGGTTGTTATTGTAAAGGCACAGACGCCGGCGCCTATTCCAGTTGACCCCATTCTCCAGGGGAAACCAACCCAATGTCACTGCAAGTCTGCAGACACACACAATGGGGTTCTGATTCAGATTTAATTAAGTTTCCAAAGAACTAGAACAGCAGTTCCTGGTCATATGAGGAGTTCATGTCTGACTCTTAAGAAGAAACGTTGGTGGAGTGAAGTGACTGGCAAGAAGGGACAAATTAGGGTTTAGAAAGTTACTCCTCCGAAACGTCTAACAATTCAATAGCCTATAACAATGCAACTGATGGAGAAGAAAGGCCTCAAACTTTTTTTGGCTTGTTTTGGCATAAAATTACATTTAAAAATATTTTTGCTTTACCTTTTCAAGTTTTTAAGTTTTCTCCTCGCAAATATTTTCATGGTGCAATCAATGAATTTCCAAGTAAAAGATAAAAAGTAAACGTTAGCAAAACGTATTGGCCAGAATTTTTTTTTTTTTGGTTTTTAGTTTTTAAGTTTGCAGGCGACAGCAAATACATTGTTGGTTGTCAAGGCAAATCGCAGCTTCAGAATAGTGAGTGCTTTCTCCGCTGAGGAAGCCCTAACAGTGCTTCAGTCAGGGAACACTGGGGATGAGCTCCAGGATCGGTGTGTATCTGGAGCTGGGACATTTGGGCATTATGGTCATTGTAAGAAATCAGGAAATGGGGAGAAGGAAGATTCACTGTGCTCTGTCGTATTCTCAAAGTCTAGAATGTTCTTCTAAGAATTCTTTTCAAAGCACGTTCTCCTCTTGAGTTGCCCTCCCCTGAACAGAGGCTAGAGCCATGGTGTCTTGTTCCACGGAACAAAAAGAAAGAAAAGACAATGGAAATACTGATGTCTTCTGTCCAGTGATAATAATATACGAGGTATAGTGAAAACTCAGCTTTCTGGAGTGCTTAGGGAGTGAGAAAATTTGGACAATCAAGTTCCTTTGTTTTCCTTTTACTATTTTATTAAATACTGACTGCAAAACAACATACATATATCCATTTTTATGTAAAGATTTAAAAATAAAGGGCACATTTATTAACTTACCACCAGTTTAAGGAACAGAAAATTACCTTTGCCTTTATGACACTCCTGATTCCATTCCATCCTATCTTCCTCATTCATTCTTTCATTCATTCAAACAGTTATTGAGTGCCTAATATGAGCAAGGCACTGTTCTAGGTTCTTGAAAAACATTATTCAACAGAACAAACAAGATTCCCATCCTTGCATTACATTCTGGTAGAAGATTATGGACAATAACACATATAATAAGCAAATTATGTAGTCTTTAAAAAAGTGTTACATAGGGGCACCTGGGTGGCTCTGGGCATGATCCCGGGGTCCTGGGATCAAGTCCCGCATCTGGCTCCCCAAAGGGAGGCTGCGTCTCCCTCTGCCTATGTCTTTACCTCTCTCCGTGTCTCTCATGAATAAATAAATAAAATCTTTTTATAAAGGTGTTAGGTAATAAGTACTATTTTTAGAAAGGAGCAAAGCAAAAGAGATGGGAAGTCTTGGGTATGTGAGATGGAAGAGGTGACTTGCAGTGGTAATCAGGGTAGGTCTCTGAGAAGATGACATTTGAGTAAAAGCTTGAAGGATTGTGAAAGAGCTAATGAGGAAGACCCTTAAGAGATTCCCTTCCACAGGCAGCATCCTCTACAAAGGCCCTAAGGAATGAACTTCCCCAGCAGAAGTGAGGAACATCAAGGAGCCAGCGTGACCAAAGCAGAATAGGAAGAAGAGGTCAGAGAATAGAAGGTGGATATCAGATTGTATAGGGTCTTACACAAAGACATTTGGGGTTAAGTGGGAGTGAAAAAGAACCATTGAAGAGTTTTGAGCGAGATCTGACTTGATAGGGCTTACTTTTTAAAAAGATCACTCTTGGGGGCCCTGGGTGGCATATTCAGTTAAGTGTCCAACTCTTAGCTTCAGCTCAGGTCGTGGGATTGAGCCCACACCTGTGCTCAGTGTAGAGTCTGTTTAAAACTTTCTCCTTGTCTTGCTCTGCCATATGCTCGCTCACTTGTTTGCTTGCTATCTCTCAAATAAATAAATCTTTTTTTAAAGGTTTTATTTATTCATGAAAGACACACAGAACCCTAGAAACTTAATGTATAAAGAAGAAGAAAGAGAAGAGGGATGAAGACTAAGCCATGGGAAATTGCAACGTTAAAGAGCTTGGAAAGAAGAGGAAGAATGAGTGAAGACAGCGAAGAAAGAAGTCATTGAGAAAGAGAAAAACCAAGAGAATGTGGGGTCCAAAAAGCATACCAAGTGAGAAAACAAGTCAGGTTAAATGAAGGCTAAGAATTACTGATTGGATCTTGGTCATCGTCAAGATCACCAATGACCTTGGGAGAAGTTTATGTGCAATGGGTGTGTTGGGGGGGGGGTGCTGATTAGAATGGGTTTCAAAAAACACGAGGTGCAATTATACAAGTTTTTTTGGGATCTCCCTTTGTTTATCCTTGCACCTATGTCACATTGTCTTAATCATTAAATCCCATCTATTTTGTTCATCCTCATTAAGGGTTGTTTTGGCACTATGCTCTTCCCTATAAATTTTAACATCCATGAGTCAAGTTCCACAGAAAAGAAAATTCTTGAATTTTTCTTGGAATTGCATTGAAAAGCTCTATCAGTCAAGTGAGGGTGGAGAGGGTGATATCTTTGTTTTTCTTTTTTCTTTTTTTGAGGGTGATATCTTTGTAACACAGTCACTATTCATAACTCATTCTTTTCCAATTAGTTTCCTTATTTAGTGTTTTCAGATAGTTTTCTAATTTTCTCCATTGAAGATCTTGTGCATCTTATGTGGATTTCTTCTTTCCTTTTTTTTTTTTTTTTTTTTAAGATTTACTTATCTGAGAGAGTGTGTGCCTGTGGTGGGGGTTCAGGAGAGAGAGAATCTTGAGCAGACACCCCGCTGAGCATGGAGCCAACATGGGGCTCCATCTCATGACCTTGAGATCATGACCTGAGCTGAAATCAAGAGTTGGATGCTTAACTGGCTGAGCCACCTATGAACCACCTATGTGGATTTATTTCTAAGTAAATTTATAAGTTTTGATTATGTTATAGTTGAAATGTTTTTAAAAATTTCATTGTTGATCCTTTTGTAACTGGTACAGAGAAAGGGAATTGATTTTTGTACATTGACTCTTTATCCAGCAGCTTTGATAAACCTTTTTAAGCTTTAATTATTTTTCAACAGATTATTTTGGGTTTCCTATTTAGCAAACAATAGTCTGTGAATAATGATAGTTTCATTTTGTCCTTTCCAACCCTCAGATCTTTCTTTTTCTTGCCTTTCTGCACTATCAGGGACCTGAGTATAATGATGAATAGGAGTAGTAACATATGATTCCTTAAAAGTATTTACTTTCAGAGTTTCCCCATAAAATGTGACATGTTCACTGCAGCTGGCTTATTTCAGTGGATATATATGATATTTAGTATGTTAAGGAGGTTTCTTCCTATTTATAGCGTGGCAAAATCTGTTTTCATGAATGGATGTGGAATTTCACCAAAAACTTTTTTTTAGGGATGCCTGGGTGGCTCAGTGTTTTAGCGCCTGCTGTCGGCCCAGGGCATGATCCTGGCGTCCCAGGATCCCTGCATGGAGCCTGCTTCTCCCTCTGCCTGTGTCTCTGCCTCTCTCTCTCTCTCTCTCTATTCTCTCTCTCTCTGTCTGTCTCTCAAGAACAAATAAAATCTTCTTTTAAAAAAGCTTTTTTTAAAACATATTTATTGGGATGATTGTATGTTTCTCCTTTGATCATTTTTTTAAAAAGGTTTTATACATTTGAGAGAGAGACAGAGATAGTGAGAGAGAACATAAGCAGGGAGGAGTGGAAGAAGCAGACTCCCCACTGAGCAGGGAGCCTGAGGTGGGACTTGATCTCAGGACGCTGGGATCATAACTTGAGCCAAAGCCAGATACTTAACCAACTGAGCCACCCAGGGGCCCCTCTCTGGTAATCTTTTAAAGAAATGGCTTACATTTATTGATTTTCAATTGTTAAGCCAACCTTGCATTTCTTATTAAGCTCAACCTGACCTTTTTTTTTATTTTTTATTTATTTACGATAGTCATACAGAGAGAGAGAGAGAGAGAGAGGCAGAGACACAGGCAGAGGGAGAAGCAGGCTCCATGCACCGGGAGCCCGATGTGGGACTCGATCCCGGGTCTCCAGGATCGCGCCCTGGGCCAAAGGCGGGCGCCAAACCGCTGCGCCACCCAGGGATCCCCCAGCCCAGCTCTCTTGTAACTCAGGAGCAGGTAGGTGGCTACCACTCTGCACCTATGCCCCATCGGCGAGTCCTGGATCTCTTCCCCGTGTGACACACAGACACCGTCAACTCAGCCAGCCTTCCTTGTAGTCAAGGAGTGGTTCC